TTTCAGCACAAGGTTCCCAAGCACTATTGGTCTCAAGCAGTCCTTACTGTATCATATCTGATAAACCGGATGCCATCTAAGGCATTGGGTATGAAAACTCCTTTCTATGTCCTTTGCCTTAATCTTCCAGACTTTCCTCTTCCACCTAGAGTCTTTAGTTGTGTATGTTTTATTCATGTAAAGGATCCAAAGAAGACCAAGTTGGATCCTAGGACTACGAAAGGAATCTTTCTAGGGTACTCTCCTACACAGAAGGGTTACAAGTGTTATGATCCAGTTACCAAGAAGAAATATACCACAAAGGATGTGGTATTTTTTGAGTCTCAATCCTATTTTCATTCTTCTCAGAATCCTCTTTAGGGGGAGACTAGTGGGATGGAAGAGGATTCTTCTTCTCCCTCTTTTTTTGTGCCTCTTTCAGCCTCGGGCCTTCCATCTTCTCCTCCTGATCCTCCTAGTTGTMGCATCCCAGGTGAATCTAGTGAGGCTCCCATTGAACCTGTTACCACTCTTGGTGTTGCGGATGTAATTGAGGACACTAATAGGCTACAAAAAGATATGAGATTCACCTACAACAGAAGGAAATAAAGACCCTCCAACTCATGGCAGCAACCAATCGGACTCAGATCAATTTGTCTCAACAACTCTAGGTAATCTTATCACTCATCCTTCTGATTTGGATCTCCCTATTGCTCTTCGTAAGCCTACCCATTCTTGTACTATCTGAAACCCCATTGCTGAATATGTTTCTTATTCACGTTTATCTCCTCGTTATTATTCCTTTGTGTATGCTCTCTCTTCTGTGCATGTCCCTACTAGGTACTCAGAGGCAATGTCTGACCCAAGATGGAGAGAGGCTATGAATGAAGAAATGAAAGCCTTAATGAAAGCCAAGACTTGGGAATTAGTGGATCTACCAGTAGGGAAGAGCATTGTGGGATGCAAGTGGGTGTTCACTGTGAAGCATAGGGAGGACGGGACCATTGAAAGATACAAGGCCAGACTAGTGGCGAAGGTGTTTACTCAAAAGGAAGGGATTGACTACAAAGAGACCTTTGCTCCAGTTGCAAAGCTCAACACAATTCGGGTTCTATTGTCATTAGTTGCAAACTTCTCATGGGAGCTATATCGGTTGGACGTGAAGAACACTTTCCTAAATGGCGATCTACATGAAGAGGTATTCATGGATTCTCCCCCAGGTTATGGTTTTGATGGGAAAGTGTGTAGATTGAGGAAAGCATTATATGGTCTTAAGCAGTCCCCTCGAGCTTGGTTTGAGAAGCTCTGTGGGGCCATGAAGAGAGTGGTATACACTCAAAATGGTGCAAATCATACTTTGTTCATATGGAAACATGATAACAGACTTACGACACTCATCGTCTATGTGGATGATATGGTGATTACAAGGAATGATCTAGAAGAGATTAAACGATTGAAGGAGTTCTTGGCATCTGAGTTTGAGATCAAAGACTTGGGCCATCTGAGATACTTCCTTTGAATTGAAGTTGCTAGGTCACAAAAGGGCATTTATATATGTCAACGGAAGTACGTCCTTGATCTTCTGGTGGAGACAGGCATGATGGGGAGTAGACCAACAGTTACTCCAATAGAACAGACTCATTGTCTACAGGAATCGGTTGGAGAGGACTACCTTGATAAAGAGAAATACCAAAAACTGGTAGGGAAGTTGATATATCTGTCTCTCACTTGACCAGATATTGCTTATGCCGTACATGTTGTCAGCTAGTTCATGCACTCTCCAAAGATTCTCATATGAGAGTAGTGGAAAGTCTTCTTAGGTATTTGAAGACTTGCCAGGAAAAGGAATTCTGTTCAAAAAACACAATAAAGTTGAAATTGAAGCGTATACTGATGCAGATTGGGCTGTTTCTGTTGGAGACAGGAAGTCTACTTCTTGGTATTGCACGTTCGTTGGAGGGAATTTGGTTACATGGTGAAGTAAAAAGCAGAATGTGGTTGCTAAATCAAGTGCAGAGGTTGAATATCAAGCTATGGCTCATGGTGTTGTTGAACTGTTGTGGCTTGGGACCCTTCTTGGTGAGCTTGGGATTAGGGTCGAGTGTCCTCTCAAGCTGTATTGTGACAACAAGGCTGCCATCAACATTGCAAATAACCCAGTGCAACATGATAGGATGAAGCATATTGAGATTGACCGACACTTCATTAGAGAAAGGATAGTCTCAGAGGAACTCTGTATTCCTTACTCCTTCCGAGATGCAGATTGCAGATGTGCTAACAAAAGGACTAGCTTCAATGAAATTCTTAGACTTACTTGGCAAGCTAAACATGACTGACATCCATGCTTAGCTTGAGGGGGAGTGTTGGTTCAATTGGTTTAGTGTTTATGTTAGCTTTATTTATGTTTTAAGTTCTTAGTTATTGGGCCTAAACTTGTTTTATTCTTTTTATGTCTAGGTGTCCCATCACTAATCAGGGGTATTCTAGTCCTTTCTTGTAACATTACATTGTGAACACTTATATAAGATTCTAGGGCCGGCTGAAGAGACTAAGCCGCCATTCTCAGATCTCCTTCTTCTTCTCCAGCAAACAATTTTAAAAGCACAAGGTGCGAAAAAGGCACAGGGGTCAATTTGCGCCCGAGGCACAAGGCGAGGCATGTGCCTTTTTAAGCAAGGCACAAAAAATAAAAGAAATGCTAAAAAATAAAAAATGTCAGAAAAAAGCCAAAAAATTAAAAAAATGCAAAAAAATATTAAACATAATATTAGTAAAAAGATAAACTTAAATTTTATAATAAATGTTTTAAAAAAACCTATTATCTAAAATTAAAATACATAAACATAACATGTAAAGCATATTCAAAGGAGAATTTAAAAATAAGATCAAACATATAAAACATTTTCAAGCATATAAAACCCACAATCTCTTTTTTTCTCAATTACATTACTTCTTGTAGCTAATGTGACATATTAAACTCCTTATTCTACGGGCCGCCTTTGTGCCACACCCCTCGAGGCAAACCCAAACAAGTCCATGTTAGGGTCTTAAATTCTTAATTTTCACACAAAAAATAATGATTTTTATAGTTTTAATTGTTTTTTAAGAAGATATTTTATTAGGATGAATGAATGAATGAACAACATTACCGAATAGGGGGTTTTTGAAGCTTCGGTGAGCGAGTGAAGCTTCAAGCGCGCCTAGTGTGCCTTGAGGGGTGTGACATGGGGGTCCAGGGGCGGAGCTCCCGGCCCAGCCGCTAGATTCAAAAAAAGCAAAAAAACGTCTGTGCGCCTAGGCACACCTTTTAAATCACTGACCAAGAGGAGACATGAGATTGTAGTTTTTTCATACAAATGGTTCTTTTAGATCCTTATGAGTGTACATGGACCTATTGGTGATGGCATGCTGCTGACTCTATAAAGGTTGAGGTCCTCTCCCTCATTACGTGGTGTTTGTATAGCAGGGGGTTTGACAAGTGTACCATTGGAGCAAGGAATGCAGTCTAGGTCCTTGGAAGCTTTCACATTTTCCACACTGGATAAGGTGCATGCTATCCTTGTTGCCTTTTCAGATGAGAATGAGATGAGTTCTTAGGGGGTTAAAATTCAATTTCCGATGACCTAGCTAAACTGGTTGTAGGAAGGGCTTTTTTATAGAGCAATGGTTCTATGATCAGGGGGAGAGTTAAAAGTCTTTGTTGAGGTTTCAGTGGACTGATAGGAACTGCTGATTCTACAAAGGTAGAGGTTCTGTCTGCTCTCTATGGGCTCTGAATTGCTAAAGAGTTGGGCATGTCTTTCCAAAACATTAAAGGTGATTCTGCTAAAACTATAAATTTTGTAAAAGGAATATGGGCCTTTTTCTGATACTATACCTGAAGAGAGGTTTTATAATGCCGAGCAGATTGCTTTGTGTTTTTCAGAGGAAGAAGACATTTCCATTTAATGGTTAGCTGTAATTTTGTAGAAGGGAATATGGGCTTTTTTCCTCAAGCTTTTTACCTTTGATGGTTGGTCTCCTGCTAGGCCTGTGGATATTTCGGAAGCATAGCCAAGGCTATAAGGAAACATCTAAGTAAAAATCCTATGGAGCTGCATTCCTTTTGCTGTCTGTTGGGAGTTGTGGAAGGAAAGAAATAGTAGAATTTTTGATGGAAAAATGAAGAGCAAAGGAAATTTTTTTTGCATCAATCAGCTCAAAGCTTGTTGGTTGGGTTTTAATTTTTCCAGAATTTGTAGCAGAAAAAAAGAAGATTTTTGGTTCAAATTTTGGTATACTTTGTTGGTTTAGTTTTGTATGGTTTTTGAGTTTGGTCTGTCTTAGTTTGGTTATATTGTAGTTTCTCTTTTGTATTGCTGGGTGGTGACACCTTGGCACCCAATACATTTGTATCTTTTTATCATTAATAAAATTTATATTATTTATCTTAAAAAAATCTGCTACAACTATAAATTGATCAGGGGAGAAGGATGGTGGTTCCTGGAGATTGGCCGACTACTTGACTGAGGCTAGAGACTTATGGATTCACTGATTGTAATCTTAACTGGATTTCTAGGGAACTAAACTCAATAGCCGATGGATTTGCCAAATCTGGTGCTCACATGGAAGTTCTGTATATTAATAGAATTATGCCTGTGTCACTCCTGAGATGCGTTTTGTTTGTTTCTTTCTGGACATCATTTCATGTACCCTTTTTCGAAGTATTAATTACCTCTTATGAAAAAATAGTATTTTTGGTATTAGCATACTATTTTACATCCTTTTATGCTCACTTTTGTTTTTATTTCACTGAAGTAATGGTTACTTCCTCTCAAAGGATTAATATTCAAATGGAGGGTTTAGTTTTTTGTTTTGTTTCTTTTTTACAGTTAAATTCTATTTAGTGCCGCTTATCTATATCTATGTCTATATCTATATCTATATCTATTGCAGATGCTGCTCTTTTTTTAGTTTAATAAATTACATGCTTATGTTTCTCTTGTTTCTGAGGTTGTCTCTGATAATAATATTATGAACAGGTAGCAACATGGAGTAGGCATAATGAGAAGGTCCATTTATTGCTTTTGTTTGGAGAACACATTCTAAGTGTTGATGTTAAAGGTAATCTTTTCATTTGGGCATTTAAAGAAGTCAACCAGAACCTTGCTCCTATCACACACATTTTGCTAGAAGACAAATTCAACCCTACATGCATAATGCATCCAGATACCTATTTAAACAAGGTAAATGCTTACTCCTTTAGAGAAGGCTTTATTGATTTGTGAAGGGAAATGTTACATGGAAATTTAGATATTTCTGTCTATTTGTTGATGTGTGAAGGGAAGTATTCCATTGCAATACTTCCTTTGACAGAATGTTTTAGATATTTCTGTCTCAAAGGAACCTCTTAATGTGAGGTACACAATGTGCAGGTTATAATTGGAAGCCAGGAAGGTTCTTTGCAGCTTTGGAATATCAGTACAAAGAAGAAACTTTATGAATTCAAAGGATGGAACTCATCTATTTGTTGCTGTGTTTCTTCACCTGCGTTGGATGTAGTTGCAGTTGGCTGTGCTGATGGAAAAGTTCATGTTCATAATATTCAGTATGATGAAGAATTGGTAACATTTACACATGCAACCAGAGGTGCTGTGACCGCCCTGTCTTTTAGGACTGGTAAATCCTTGCGGTTTGTTTCTTTAATTGATTATTAAATTGTGTGTGTATGTGAAACATGTTAAGCAAATATACTAATAAAAAAACATGTTAAGCAGTTGGGTTCGACTATGATATCAGAGGGTGCTTTGATTGCTCAAAGCTCTTCCGGTACCATGTCTTTCTGGTATCATAGATTTTCCCTAAATAAATTACCACTTGCACTAAGTTTCACCTAGAAAGAAAATATGATATGTAACTATGCTTAAAGATTTTCTGATCAAGTATTCAGGCATCCAGTATATCCTTATTTGAATTGGCTGATTGGGCTTGGGTTGAATTTGGTTATAATACATGCTTTAAAAATAGGATACCATAAGTTTTGGGCTTATAACTTTTGGTTAGGAAAATTCAATACCAAAAGCTGATGGTCAACAAAAGTTATGAATAGAAATGTATATTTTTCCACATATTGTTATATTGTACACTCTTCCCTTTTTCCATCTTAATGCATACTTTACCTTTTTCTGAAAAAGAAAATATTGCCATATCTCATATGGGATTTGTCCAATTATAAACAGATCATATTTAAGATTCCATCCACCTTAAACTTATTTAATTCAGTGGAGTAGTTGTGATCCAATCCATTGGTAGACCTATTTACAATCAATGTTCTAAAAGTGCAAGGGTGAGGTACAAAATTTAAAATTTTCAAGAAAAAAGGGAAACTGCTAAAATTTAATACAAATTGTTCAAATAAAATATTAAAATAGTTTTAATAAAAAAATTCATAGTTAAACTTTAAACTAAATGTTTTAAACAGCCTATTAGCTCAAATAAAATACATAAACATAACATATAAAACTTATTAAAAGTGAATAATGTAAAAATAAAATTAAATATAGCATATAAAACACATACAAGCACTCAATGATTCAGGTGTGTGAAACTTTTAATCTATTTCTTTCTACTTGCATTACCCTAAATTTAGAAGCTGCTTTGTACTGGGTCCCTTGAGGCAAAAGCCCAAAAATGTCCATGCTAGATTGCACATTAGTAAAAAGGGGGAGGTGCAAGGTGTGCACCTGGGCTAAGGCGCAAGCCAAGGAACAGACCTTGAAATGTGCCTCACCTATGAATCTTTTAAATCTCTGTATACAATCATATTTGGCAGTAAATTTAGACACATTTTCTTGGAATCCTCTAGCATTTATAACTGACCTAATTATCTTCTTGATTATAACTTTTAGATGGACAGCCTCTTCTAGCATCTGGAGGTTCATCGGGTGTGATAAGCATATGGAATCTTGAGAAAAGAAGGCTCCAATCGGTCATAAGGGAGGCACATGATAGTTCAATAATATCATTGTACTTTTTTTCCAATGAACCTGTGCTGATGAGCTCTTCAGCAGACAACTCTATAAAAGTAAGCTGCTTTAAACTTGTTTACCATTGACGTTGTTATTTGTTTGCTATTATTTTTAGCTGAGAATGTGGTTCTAATATATTTAATCTGATGAGATAGCTTCACTAACTTGAAAGTGTACATTTTGGGGATTTGCCCAACTTAGGGTATTAAGGATGTTAACTTTAACACTTAGAGCAGCAGGCACTTCTTTGTAGCAATCCTTGAACTTGTCAAGCACATCCTCTGCAGAATTTGTATTAAACGTCCTCCTAGGCCACAACACAACAATACTTTGTTATCATCTTTTCTGTTAATAACATATTTATACTGTATCATACCAAAATTTCAAGAGAACTTTCCTCAAAGTTTTATTCTATATTTATATTGGATTCATTGGAAATGTAGTGAACTTCCATAAAGGATGAGTGAAGAAAAGTCTGGCCCAAATCCACATAGCTTATTTTAGCGACTTCTTTGTGCCTATGCCCACAAGAAGAAAAGTGTGGATTTTGTGATGCAGAGCATGGTTAACAATTTTGATATCGATGGACATTTTTCCATGCAGAAATGTGGAAAATTCAGGGATATTTCACTAAGATATTTTAGAAAATGTGATAGTTGAGGGAGATTCTAAGGTGGTAGTGGGTTAGTTTATTGGTTGTTGAGTTCAGAAACAGTTCTATGGGGCTATAGAGATCTTCTTAAGAAAGTTAATTGGCTCACAAGGAATATGTCAGTTACCTATCAGTGGGTCAGCAGATCGGCAAATGCATGGCAGATTCTTTGGTAAAACAAGGGGTCTCAAAGGTTGAGTTATTTTCTGCCACTCTATGATTGTATTCTGTTAAGTTTTGTTTATGCTCTCACGTCTAAGGGGAGGTAACATCTCATGCTTCCTCTTGGGGTGAATGTACACATCCTTTCTTATTAATAAAATCATTATTTACTTATCAAAAAAATCTAAAAAATCAGTGAAATTTTTTGAAAACTTGGAGTTAGTAAATAAACCTTCGTGGAATTGTTAGAAAAAGTATAATTGCACAACAATAGAAAATTACTGTACAGATCAAATTAGATAAGTATAATTGCCATCTTTTCTTCATTATGTATGCCATTTATTTGCCGTTTTGACTTTTGTCTCTTTTTTTTACTATACATCAGTGTTTTAAAAGCGAAAGGTGCACAAAAAGCGACAGGTTCGAAATGCGCCTGAGGCACAAGGTGCAAGGCGCAAGGCGAGGTGCACGCCTTTTTGCGCACAAAATTAAAAAAACTAAAAAAATAGAAAAAAATATAAAAAACAAAGTTAATTACTTAATTATTAGCTCCTATTTTTCTGTGAACAAGAAGAAGAACTGAAGGAGGAGGAGACGAAGAAGAAGAAGGGGGCGGGCGGAACCCCTGTTTTCAGTGTAAAAAAAGAGGAAACAAATACTGAAATACCTGATGCTGATTTCTGAAAGCCTGTTGGTCGTCCGACTAAGAGATTGCCTCTGATAGAACATCGAAGGTGGCTGTTCGATTGAGAGATGGCCTGAACTTGTTGATCCAAGAAGAACGTGGGGGCTGAGGGCTTGAGACTTTGACTGATACTGGGAGTCTGAGAAGCCTTGCATGGCAAGTTTTTTTCTCTCGAGAGGGTCGTGACTTTCTTTTGAATTATAATCTATCTATAAAAGGAAATAATCTATATACATAGCATTATAATCTAGCTGTAAAAGTCAATTTAAAAACAAATTAAAAAACAAAAGGCAACAAATATAGGCGTGTGCCTGGACCGACTGGTGCCTGGTCTGAGGTGCATGCCTTAGGCGCAGAGGTAAGCGCCTTATTAAAGTGTAAGCGCCTTGACCCATGCGAGGCGCCTACTCTCGAAAACGCCTCGCCTTGCGCCTCAGGCACGCCTTTTAAAACACTGTTATACATTCTGATTAGATTGAGAATTCTCTTTTGTGGTTAGGTGCCTTTTTTCTTTCTTTTGAATTATAGTGACATATTAATTGAATATCGAAATGGTAAGCCAATAATCACTGAATACCTATTTGTTCTTTTAGAAAACGTTTTAAAAAATATGATTATTTTAATGATATTCTAAAATTTTAAATCTTAAATGTATAGTAGATCAATGAAATATAAATGTTAGACATATTAGGAGCATATTGCCACCTAGCAAAATGAGGAAATTTCAGGGAAATTTCACTAAACCTTGCTGATATTGTGAACCATGAGTCCATGATGCAGAGATGGTATGGTGCATAACTTAGCCTCAAAGGTATACTTGTTTCCTTTCACCCACATTTCACATATGCTGGATTACAGGTCCGAACAATCTTTGGTAAAAAACAGCACTGCTCGTCTTGTTATATTGTTATATGCATAAGATGATATTTATGATATCTCTGCATTGCTTATAATTTTTTTTTTTGGTTTTTCATCACAAATCTGATTGACATATTGTTAAGTGAACAAAAATTGAGGCTTTGGTTGTTGGTTTTGGGGATATGTTGATCATGTTTTGTCAAGGTGATGCCTAGCAACAAGGTGCCAACGGGCTGTTACATTGCTTAATCAGTAAGCTAATTTGTGCATAGCACTATGCAATCTTTTTATATTCCTAATTTTTTAAGATTATAATAATATAAAATGGACATTATTAAACTAAAAATATTCATTGTCAGTTTATCTTACTAGTTTCTTTTTATTATTTTCTTATTTGTTAGGGTTCAATTAACACGCTTGTTGGTTTGAACCCTCCAAGATGACAAAACCTGAACCAACAGCAAGGAAGAATGGAAATTTTGCCCAGTCAATGCATTCTTCTTCCACCTATTCTCTTCTTTTCCTAGGACATAAGCATGAGTTCGGTCCCTATATTTTTTTAAAATTTCTTTTCGTCCATTTTCTTTTCATAAATAACTAGGCGAAAAGGTGCCTTGCTGAGTTGTTTCTGTGTTGTTTCATTTTTCCTTTAATATACTGTTCTTTTTTTGTTAGTGTTGTTGAACCGAACTGAGAAAAGAGAGAGAAAGGAGAGAAGAAGAAGAAGAGGAAGAATAGTATCGAACTAAGAAGACTATTCATCTAACCTAGTCGACCATATGCTTAAGCTTGACAAAATAAAAGTACAAAGACTGAAATGCCCCTGCATATGAGGAGACAAACAACTAACACCTTACTTAGGGGAAAAGACCAAAATACCCCTCTTTGGTCAACTCTAACACTCCCCCTCAAGTTGGAGAGTATATATCATATAATCCCAGCTTGTTACATATATAACTCACTCTTCCCGAACTCAACTCTTTTGTGAACAGATCTGCCCATTGATCACCTGTTCGCCATGCTCAGTACTTATCTCACAATTGATGACCTTTTCCCTTACAAAGTGGCAATCTACCTCTATGTGTTTAGTTCTCTCATGAAAAATTGGGTTGGATGAGATGTGAGTTACAGCCTGGTTGTCACAGTATAGCTTCATGGGTTTGCTTATTGAAAACCTAATTTCTTGCAATAGATTCTTCAACCATACTAGTTCACATGTAGTATGTGCCATAACCATGTATTTTGCTTTTGCACTGCTCCTTGCTACAATAGTCTACTTCTTGCTCTTCCATGTCACTAGATTTCCTCCCAAAAAGGTGTAATAACCTGTGGCGGGTCTCCTGTTTGATACAGAGCCAGCCTAGTCTACGTCGATGTATCCAACTACTTCAAGATCACCTCCTGGCTTGTATAGTAACCCACGACCTGGGGCCCCCTTCAAATATGACACAATTCAATGAACTGCATCCTAGTGAGGCACCCAAGGATTCTTCATAAACCGGTTTACCACACTGACAGCAAAGGAGATGTCAGGCCTAGTGTTAGTTAGATGATTCAGTTTTCCCACTAGCCTTCTATACCTTCGAGGATTATCAAAAAATTCACCTGTGTCACTTCCCAACTTCACATTTAGTTCCATGGGAGTTTCAGTTGGTTTAGCACCTAGCAACATTGTTTCTTCCAACAGGTGAAGAACATATTTCCGCTGACAGAGGTTGATGCCTTCTTTTGATCTAGCAACTTCTATACCTAGAAAATACTTTAACTTTCCAAGATCTTTTGTTTGAAAGTCATTTTGTAGGAATGGCTTCAATCTATCAATGTCAGTTATGTTCCCAACTCTATCAATGTTAGTTATGACTATGTTATCCACATACACTACTAGCAAGATTTTCCCAGCCACGGAGACAGCTAAATATTGAATGGTCAACTTGACATTGTCTAATTCCAAACTCCTTTACCACTTCACTAAATTTTCCAAACCAAGCACGGGGAGACTGTTTGAGCCCATAGATTGCCTTCTTGAGCTTACACACCTTATCATCCTCCCCTTTAGCAACAAATCCTGGTGGTTGCTCATCTACACTTTCCTTAGAAGATTACTATGGAGAAAGGCATTTTTAATATCAAGCTGAAAGAGAGGCCAATCATGTAGTCTAACTAAGGAAATCAGCACACGTACTGAGCCAATCTTTGCAACTGGAGAAAAGGTTTCGACATAGTCTACACCATAAAGTTGAGAGTATCCTTTTGCAACTAAACAGGTTTTCAGCTGTTCCATTCTCCCACTTACAACCAACAACATGTTTACTTGGGGGAAGATTGGTGAGTTCCCATGTATGATTGTGATGAAGAGTAGAGAGTTCCTCTTCCATAGCTTTTCGCCACCCTGGTGAAGTAAGAGCCTCCTGAACATCCTTAGGTGTGGATACAGAGGACAATAGGGTAATAAACTCACGATGGGAAGCAAAAAGGTGAGATACAAAAACATATTTGGATATAGGATGTAGCATGCAAATATGTTTACCTTTCCGCAATGCAATAGGAAGGTCAAATCCGAAGGCAATTTAGTTGTGGAAAGAGCTGGATCAACTGTCGGAGTAGAAGGTGGTGGAGGTGCTGCATCTGTCGATGAGTATACACTTAATGGATTGGTGGTCTTTTAGTACGCTCTTGCATTGGGGAAGGTGTAGACTCATGCATAATGGGAACCACCGGGATGGAATTGTCAATCAGAAGAGGGAGAGGAACCTCTGTAAGAGAAGGGATATCAGAAGTAGAGAAGTATGGCACCGATTCGAAAAATGTAACATCAGGACACACAAAGGATTTTCAAATAATAGGGTTGTAGCATTTATACCCTTTTTGGGTCGTAGAGTAGCCAAGGAAGATACAGTTAATGGAATGAACATCCAACTTGTCTAGCCCAGGACCAAGATTCTGAGCAAAGCACACACACCCGAAGATCCTGGGAGTCAGATAATAAGGAGACAAAGTGGGAAATAAGATAGAGAACGGAGAACGACCTTCCAGAATAAATGAGGGATGCGGTTAATGAGAAAACAAGTAGTTAGGACTTCATCACTCCAGAAATGTTTAGGAACATTCATATGATGGAGAGACCGAGCTGTTTCAAGTAGATGTCGGTTCTTTCTCTCAGCCACCTCGTTTTTCTGAGGAGTGTGGGCACAAGATGTCTGGTGAATAATACTATGTTGTTCCAAGTATTGCTGAAATGAAGAAAGAAAATACTCTCTGTCATTGCCGGAACGAAGAATTTTAAGTGAAACATCAAATTATGTACGCACTTCAGCATGAAACTTTTGGAAAATGGAAAATGATTCACTTTTTTCTTTCATTACATAAAGCCATGTCATTCTTGAATAGTCATCAACAAAGATAACAAAATATTTGTAACCATTATAAGACTCAATTCTGATTGGACCCCAAACATTTGAATGAACTAAATCAAAAGGACTCAACGTACGACTATCAACTCTAAGATCATAGGAAACCTTGTTTCCCATATTGACACGACTCACACTGCAAAGATGATAGACGTCTCAATGACAGAACAAGAAGCTTGAGAGCTTTAAGAGATGGATGGCCGAGTCTACAATACCACTGAAGAGGAGTCAAAGAGGTTTGAAGTGCAATCGTAGATCCACCACCATCAAGATAATACAATCTGCCAGCTTCATGCCCTCCACCAGTCTTCTTCTCCATCTTAGATCCTGAAAAACACAAGAGGAAGGGTAAAATGTGATAGAACAATTGAGGGATTTGGTTAGTTTACTAWYAGACATAAGATTRAAAGGAAACTTGGGAACGTATAAAACAGAAGTCAATGAAAGAGATGCTGTGTTAACATTACCAACACCAAAGATGGGGGAAGTTGATCCTTTGGCAAGGGTAACATTATTTGATGTAGAGGTTGGAGAAAGGGAGGAAAACACACATGGAGTCCCGATCATGTGATCAGAGGCTTCAGAGTCAATTATCCAGGGTGAAGGTTTGGATGCTAGGCAAGCTATACCTCAATGAGCAAGGGTGGCAGTATTCTGATGTGGGGTGGCCTAAAGATATCTCTCATACTCTTCTCTTGGAATACTCATCATCTCCTTCCTAGAAGTAGTTGTGACCGTAGAGGGTGTTGGATCAACTGGTTGAATATCACTGACTTCACTACCACCAACAACTGCATGATTAGCCCATGTTGATGGTGGGCCATGCAAATCATATTAGAAGTTAACTGTGCCCTTCTCTCCCACAGTGTGTGCATTTTCTAGTAGTGCCACGACCTCCCCCTGAATTACGACCTCCTCCACTACCACGACCACCCATAGGGTTACCACGGACTCCCTTAACTATACGACCACCTCCTCTGTGCCCATAAGGACCACCTTGATTGCCAACAAGTACTGATCTGTCGGAAGGTATGTTACACTCTGTGGGGGTGAGAGATATACTACGGAGACGGGCAAACACTTCTTTTAGAGTAGGGAGAGCAAACCCTCCCAATATCTGTGCTCTGACGGGTTCATATTCTGCTTTCAGTCCCACCAAGAATCGAGTAACATCTAGTTGTTCCCTTTGTTACTGCAGAACTTTGATGTTTGGAGTCAAGGGATGATAGACATTAAGTTCATTCCGAAGATTTTTTGTACTGGCATAATATTCTTCAAGAGTCAGATTTCTCCGCTACAAACTGAAGTATTCCTGATAAAGCTGATAAACCCTTGTGGTGTTGTCTTGTCCAGAATAGAGTTTCTTGGCATGTTCCCATATATCCCTTGTTGTATCTAAAAACATGAAATTAAAACTGATTCTAGGCTCCATACTGTTCCACAACCACGTCATAATTTGAGCATCCTCTTGCTCCCAATCACTAAAACCCGGGGATTTAGTACTAGGTTTCTCCTCCCGTACATTTTTCACTTTCTTCTTAGCCTTCAGAAACACCTCCACTGACTTGGCCCTCGGGACATAGTTATTAAGTTTGATGGAGGGTATGTGGACATTTAAAAAATCAGAGATCATGACACTCGATTTCTGGTCAACACTCGCATCATCCATCGAAGCCATTTCAGTTTACAAAGTCGGTTTTGCCCATCACACACACAAAAAAAAAACAGTTCCAACCACTGCACTACTGTTCGTCAACTACCACACAAGCACACTTGCAATCACCACATACTTGCCCTAGCATACATTCTGCCACTTCAAACACCACTGTACTGCTAACAGGCAGATTTAAAACCACAAAGAATCTCTCTTGGAACTGCTCATTAGAGGGTTCAGACCACCACGACTGCACCTACTCGACCACCATAGCTGTCACACGCATGGTGATAGCAGTACACAAAAAAAACCTTTTTTTTTTCTGTTCACTCGACTGTTGTACTCTTCCTTGTCACCAGAAGCCAAGCCTATGAAGCCCTAGAGGTTGCCGCAGGAATCTGGGTTGTGCCGCAGTCTTCAACCCCAGATTCTTGCACCAGATAAAAAATGAAAAAAAGAACTGAGAAATGTTAGTTGCGGAAGCTGTAATTGATTGCTGCCAATGGCGCTCTGATACCATCTTAGTGCTTTTCAGCCGAACTGAGAAAAGAGAGAGAAAGGAGAGAAGGAGAAGAGGAAGAATAGTGTCGAGCTGAGAAGACTATTCATCTAACCCGGTCGACCATATGCTTAAACATGACAAAATAAAAGTACTAAGACTGAAATGCCCCTGCATATGAGGAGACATACAGCTAACAACTTACTTAGGGGAAAATACCAAAATACCCCTCTTTAGTCGACTCTAACATTTTTCAACATTGTAACAGATGTGGATCTTTGACACAAGTGACAAGACAAAATAAAGTACTAAGACTGAAATGCCCCTGCATATGAGGAGACATACAGCTAACAACTTACTTGGGGGAAAATACCAAAATACCCCTCTTTAGTCGACTTTAACATTTTTCAACATTGTAACAGATGTGGATCTTTGACACAAGTGATGGTGATGCTCGGCTTTTGCGCTTCCGAAGTGGGCACAGTGCTCCACCACTTTGCATAAGGTAATAACTTGCATTGAAAGATTAATTATGCCTTCCAAATTGTTCATGGAAATTTTCTTTAGTATTTTAATAAGTCGTGGCATAGGGTGCATCTTTTATTTATTTATTTTTTTTTTGGGGGGGGGGGCGAGGGAGTGTCCGTAATAAGAGCCAGGTGGCAACCCCTCCAATGGCACTCCAAACAAACCACCATAAGACCAAGATAAAAGCTCAATCAACATTGAAACTAGAACTATATTCCACCAAATTTTTGTTGATATCTTCAAATATAGGATGTGCCTTTTCCTTAAACATTTTGTAACCATTCCTTGTCCTTTGAAATATTCTCCTATTTTTCTCATGCGAATGTGCTAAAGATTGCAAAAATAATAGTACTACATAAAATAAATCCTTTCTGCAGAGAAAGGAAGCCAAAGAGAAAATTCCCATGTGTTCAAATCTGGTGCACCTGAACAATGCAAAAAGAGTATGACCAAGTGAACTCTGCTGCTCTATGAACTAACAGTTGCACATCTTTTTCATGGCACTTCCACATGCAAAAAGAGTCCATATCTTTTTCATTGTAATCATTCGAGAGAATTCCCCTTCCAACAATTCCTACATTTTGATTATATTTATACTTCCTGATGAACAGATATACTTTGATAATCTCTTAACAAAGTACTGGACAACTAATTTCTGTATTATCTTTTTATAAGAAACAATTTCTGTATTATTCTGTTTAAATGGTCCATATAAATCTCAGGACTTTTTTTTCCAGATGAGTGATTTGGATGTAATCTTTTCTTAAAAAAGGATCACACTCCTAACTACTATTCAAACATTACATGCTTTAAAAGACAAAACCACTGTTGTGTTTAATTTAATCATTTTTTTTGATAAATAATAACATGTATTAATATACTTCAATAGTTACATATTATACAAGCATCCCTTGGAAAGAGGTGCAAGATGCAACCTCTTCCAAAATAAAAGAGAGTGCAAATTACAGCTGAGCCCAAAACAAGTGTTCCCTTGAATCTGCTGATAAAAAAATGTTCGCTTGAATCTTTGATACCCCTTGCTTAGCTATGTATGAGCCATTGCATTAGCTTACCTCCCAAGCTATTGAATGGTTGTGAAAAATGGGATGTTTCTTTGATACCCTTAAAGAGAAGAATTGTTGATACCCCTTAGTTTTCCAACCTTTATATTGACAAGTGGTAGTGGTGTGCAGTGTCAAGTGTCAACAAGTCATGCCCATGGTAAACAATTTGTGAATTGAAGACTTAAATTTATTAACTTTGAGGTCTCTATCCCTTATGGCATGTTATGCCACCTTTATATGTTTATTGCATGAAAAATTTAGTCTCTCCTTCTTTTCCTGCTTATTATGTCAGATCTTGAATTGAAGGTTCCCTTTGGTCTTAAGTTGTCTATAATCCTTTCAGGTTCTATGCCAATGGAAGACACATTTTGTCTGCTGGTCAGGACCGTGCCTTTCGCCTATTCTCTGTTATCCAGGTCTGACATTATTTGTGCAGAAAGATTAAGTTGTGCTTTCTTCAAATGTTTATGTCCTTACTGCATTATCATTTTTTTTTGCTTCTTATCGTAGTTATCGGAAATGAGATGATAACCTGGAAAAGTGACAGGATCATGATCCCCTGTTTAACTAACTGTCTGGGTCAGATCTACTAATGCCATGTGTATGTGTATGTTATATTTGTGTGTGAGGGAGGGGGTAGGGGGAGAAAAAACCAACAGTTTCATATATAGTGATTATAAGAATTACATATTGAAAAGCTAAGGAACCTGTCTTTTCATCTTTTAGCTTATAGTTTGTAAAAGTGCACCAGTTACTAAGTGTACCCAGGTCAAAACAGGCCAGTGTTTGTCCTGGATTCCCCTTCCCTCTGGTTTTATAAAACTGAACTTTGATGGTAGTAGTAGAGGGAACCCGGGGCTGTCAGGAATTGGGGCTGTGTTTAGGGATGTGAATGGGATTGTTTCTGCCTTGTTCTCAGGTTCAATTGGGATGGGTGATTCTCTCAGAGAGAAATCTATGCTGTTGTGGAAGGTGTCCAAATTGCTAAGGAAATGAACATTAGAAGACTTGTAATTGAAGGGGACTCGGAGGTGGTGGTAGGGTGGCTGAAAGAATACAAGGCTGGGTTATGGGCTTACAGCAATGAAAGGAAAAAGTACAGGTGTATGGTTAAGGACATGGATATCAAACTCAGCTAGGTGAAGAGATCTGCTAACTCTTTTGCTGATGGGTTAACTAAGCAAGGGGTGGTTAGGGAATCTATTTCATGGGCTCAGTTGTAACTGCAGTTTTTTATGGAGGCTCTAGCCTCAGTAGAGGGAGTTAAGAAAGTTTACCTCCCCTTCCTTGTACCTTACTGCTCAGATTGATTGGTTAATGAAATTGTTGTTATTGATAAAAGAAATGTTTACCAATTACTTTGTTTTAGTTGTACATCTCTTATGTTTTACATGTAGAAGGAATATCAGGTTTCTTTTTGTTTACTTTTTCTGGTAGTATTTATTTTATAAGTGTTCATAACGATTTTATGATTCCAGATGATTGATTTTGAGTTCCGTATGATCTTATAGATTCATATGTAGTGATTATAAGAATATATATATTTGATTGGAAATGGTAACTTTCATTAAAGATCTCAATTAAACATCATACACTATCAACCACTCAAAATCTGAGTGTTGACCCCAATCAGCATCAAGAATTACAATTCGGCCCAAAAGAAAATTTCCCTGAAGGTTCCCTGCTTTGCCAAACTATCTGCCACAGAGTTGGCTGACCTCCTTACCCATTTGAATATTAACTCAACATCCCTTGCCAAGCAAATTATTTCCCTTATTTGTTGTCTAAAAGTCCATACACCCATACATTTTGCTGCAGCCACCCTATTAACAGTTTAGAATCCCCTTCCTCTTCAAAGTTCTGAAATCCCTATTGCTTGGCAAATCTCAGGCCTTGTAGGCGAGCCAAAATTTCAGCTCTCAGAGAGTTCCCCACTCTTATGGGACCAGAATATAGTGCCACCATTCTGCCCTCTCCATCCATTATAAGAAATATATATTGAAAAACTAATAGGAAACCTACCTTCCCATCGTTTAGCTTATGGTTTAGAAAAGTGCACCAATTGCTTTCTTTTAGTTTTACATCTCTTATGTTTACATGTAGAAGGAACATCAGGTTTCTTTTTGTGTACTTTTCCGGTAGTATTTATTTTATCAAATTCTGATATGATTTTGTCATTCCAGATGATTTGTTATTGATTTTGTTGTTCCAGATGAGAATTACACATTCTCAGGGGTCTGGCCCTTGTTTTGTATTTGTACACCTTCGTGTACCCTTCTTTCCTTTAATGAAATCAGTTAACTTCTTTAAAAAAAAAATTTCAAAGTAAATCCAAGTAACACAATTCTATAGAGCATGATTGCTTCAGTCAGCTCAATCTAGTTTTTCTTTTAAACAGTTTTCTAGATAGTGCACATAGGCTCATAGGCAAGGATTTTTTATGGGGAGCTCCTAGGTTGAACTTAGTGCACCTTATCTGGCTTGTTCCTAGATTTTGATGAACTAACTTTGAATTTGATGTTGAATAGGCAATTTACTATATTGTAAGTTGTACTTATGATGTTTAAAGTTTAAGCAGTTAATCGTAGGATTGGGACCTACAAGGCTACAACCTTCTTTGGGAGCTAGGGGAAGAGAAAAAGGATCACTTGATAAGGTGGGAGATAGTCTGTAGGAGTAAGGAAGAAGGTGGTTTGGGGATAGGGAATTTGGTTCTCAAGAATATAGCTATGCTAGGTAAGTGGTTGTGGAGATGGTCTTTGGAAAAAGAGTGGTTGTGGCATGAGGTGATAGCTAGTATTGAAGGTTGCTTGGAAAATGGTTGGGATGTTGGTGTATCATGTCGTTATAGCTTGGCCACTCCCTAGAAAGCAATCCACAATATCTCTCCTCAATTTCTTAATTTTGTCAGGTATGGTGTTTGTGCTAAGAATTCTTTTTCCTTCTTTTCAAGCAATCTCTTTTTTTAAGCATGAGATTGTTTTTAATTTTCTCCCCTCTATTATACCTCCTTCCTTAAGTTGGAACTTCGGCTTCCGTAGGGGTTTAAGGGATGATGAAGTTGGCTGTGTTTCCGATTTCTTTCCTGTTCTTGGTACTGTCTGCTTGGATCTTGTAAATCTAGACAAGAAGATTTGGGCCCCCCATCCAAAAGGTTCCTTTACTTGTGTCTCTTTTTTGTTTTTCAAGTCCTTATCTTGTCAAACAAGGGGTTATGAGGGGGTATAAGAGGGGGAGTTACTAGCTGCTTTACAAGGTATTCAGATTGCAAATCAATCTGGTGTGGAGAATTTACTAAATGGAGGAGACTCTAAAGTTGTTGTGGGTTGGTTAACAGATTCGGACTTTGTCATTTGGTGCTACAAGGACATCCTAAAGAAAGCTAGCTAGTTAACAAGGAACATGAATGTTAGCTTAGATTGGGTGGGCATATCAGCAAACACTTTGGCTGATTATCTTGTCAAACAAGGGGTTATGAGGGAACATCTGTACTGGGCTACTTTGTTATTTTCTTCTTCTAGTGCTTTGATGTAATCTTCGTACTTTAAGGAAGGTCACACCTCGTGCCTCTCTTTGGGTTGCTTGTAAGAGCTCTCATCTTTCGTTGATAAAATTATCTTTCAATTATCTGTGAAGGGGGAGGGGGCAAGGTGTAGCGAGGAACCTAAAGGAGGTGGTGAGGAAGTTTGGTTTTGTTTCTAACCTGAAATTCAACCTTAAGAAAAGCTGTGTAGCGGGGATCAACTTGGAGGAAGGGGAACAAACTCTGTTGCCAACATCTTAGAGTGCTCCATAGCTAGTTGGCCCTTGACCTACCTTGGCCTTTCTTTAGGAGCAAACCCTAGAGAAAGCAGATTCTGGAATCCAGTTGTCAAAAGGTGTGCAAAGAAGCTGGATGCTAGGAAGAGAAATTATGTATCATTGAGCGGAAGAATTACTTTGATCAAATCCACTCTTGCCAACCTACCAATTTATATTTTGTCAGTTTTTAGGATTCCCCAAAGGGAGGCGAAAAAAATTGAAAAAATCAGGAGAGATTTCCTTTGGGATCTGGGTGATGGGTAGAAAGATCATTTGGTTAAATGGGAGGTTGTGGCATGATGTCATTGCTAGCATACTTGAGAGGTTAGGAAATGGTTCGGGTGTAGGAGTATCTAACAGGGCTACACTGACCTCTCCGTGGAAATCCATCCACCGCACCTTGCCTCTTTTACGTCGGTCTATCAGGTATGATGTTTGCTTTGGGATCTCTGTTAAATTTTGGGAGGATACATGGATCGGATCTTGTCTGTTGAAAGAGTATTTTTTTTTATATTCAGTTTCCTTGTATAAAAAGAGTGTGTTTCGAATTTTATTGTTCATCAATACTCCCTGTGGGCCTCAATTGAGATTTTGGTTTCCACAGAGGTCTAAGAGATGGTGTGATCTCAGCTTGCTCAGATTTGTTACAAATCCCTCAAAATGTTAGTTTGGACCTTGAGAAGTCTGATAAGCGTGTTTGGGCTCCCCACCCCAAGGGTCTGTTCTCCTGTGCTTCTTTGTTCAAGACTCTTTGCATTCCGTCGGGTCATCCTTCTTTTCCCTTTAAAGAGTTCTGGTGTAGATCCATTCCACCTAAAGTAAGAGCTTTGTGTTGGGAAGTGTAGAGGAGATGGGCCGAATGGCCCATAGACTGTCATTTCATGTTATGTTATGTTTCTCTCTGTTATGGACCTTATTCTGGGCCAATAACAGAATAATAAAAAAAAAAAAGAACATTACAGAGTATGGGCCCAGAATAAGGCCCATAACAGAGAGAAACATATCATAACATGAAATGACAGTCTATGGGCTATTCGGCCCATCTCCTCTACAGGAAGTAGTATGTGGGAAGATTAACACCTTGGATATGTTACAAAAGAGAAGGCCTAATTCTTGTTTCTCTCCTAACTGGTGTATCTTATGTAACTCCAATACTGAGAGTTGCTATTCACTTGTCGATCTCTTGTCCCTTTGATGCAGAGATTTGGCTTTGGCTTTTCTCTTTGTTTGGGTGTAGGTGGACTTCACCATCGGAGGTCAACATGCTTTTCAATCCTTCCATGTTTATGCTGCCAAAAAAGGGGGGATGGACAATGTGAACATGTGTTAGAGCAGCCTTGTGTGGACTATTTGGGAAGAGAGAAATGCTAGAATATTTTTAGAAAAAGAGAGGAGCAAAGAAGCTGTTAGGTATTGTGTAATGGTATGGGTGATCCATTGGATAAAGGCTCTGAAATTTTTCTCCCACTTCTACTTTGATGATGCTTGGAGGAGCAGGAAAGCAATTGCCAGAAGTTCCTCTAGAAAGGAAAGTGTGGAGATGCATCGGATACCTCCAACTGAAGGTTTTGTGAAACTGTACTTTGACGGGAGCGTCAAGGTAATCCCGGCCCAT